TCTGACCCCCTGGGTTTGGGTGCATACCTGCATTTTTTGGGGCCGGGTTAGTGTCCAGGGCTTTCATCAGAATCTCAGAAGGAGCCTTGCCCCCACCCTGAAATGTTAGGAAACACCAAGTCCAACCCTCTTATTTCACAGACGGGAAGACTGAGCCATAGAGCAAGGAAGGAAGTGATTTGCTCTGTAGGCTGGGGCCGAGCTGGATGAGAAGCCAGGACTTCAGACTCTCCATTCAGTGCTCCTGCAGCTCCTGAACTTCAGAGATCACCCTTCTCATCCTGACACCCACACAGAGGCTCCCGTGTCACCCAGGACTCTGCTATTCCCTCCTCGTCAGAGCCCCTCTGTCGCCACCACCCCCATGAGTCCCCATCAGGGCCTCAGGTTACTCCAATCCACATCCTTGCTAGGTGGCTTTGAATAAGTCACTATGTTCTCTGAACCTCAGTCTCCTCATCAGCAAAATGGGAATATAATAGCGCTACCTCAAAAGATCATGAGCGTAACATAGATGACAGAACACTGCATGTTTGGCACAGCGCCTGGCAGATAGTAAGCACTCAAAACACGCTCAAGCAAGAAAAACGTGTGCTGGCTCTCACTATCATTCTCTCTGTGGGAGCTCTTGGCTGCAGTGCCTCCCCCCTCCCCCCATCTCGGCAGCCAGCGTGGCATGGGCATTGGAGCTTTTGCTTGACTTCGTTGGAGCCAAGGGGAAACCAACCTGCCTTTCTGGACTTTGGGTGACTGCCCCTCTCTGGGCCTCAGTTTGCCTGTCTGTGTAATGGATGGGTTTGTGGATCTCTGGCGCCCCCTCAGCTCTGACACAATATGCCACACTATGGATGGCCCCCCAGCATCTTCCAGCATGTGCTGCCTTCACAAGGGCCCTAGTTTCTGCCTCCAGACAGTAAGTCGTATCCCTTGGGTGGCCTTGGCTCTGTCCCTTGGGCCATACCCAGCTTTGCCACAATGGTAGGTGCTTGGTCAGTGCCCACTGGGTTAATAGCTTTCTTAGCACCCCCCTGCACCTGGGGTTGGGACCACATTTTGGGGCTTCTAATTAATTTGATGCTCTATCTCTGCTATCACTTGGCTGCTAACTGAAAGGTTGGCAGTTCGAACTCACCAGCTGCTCCGTGGGAGAGAGAGGTGGCAGTCTGCTTCTGTAAAGATTTCAGCCTTAGAAACCCTATGGGGGCAGTTCTCTGTCTTATAGTGTTGCTATGAGTCAGAATCCACTTGATGGCAACGGGTTTGGTTTTGGTTTATCTCTGCCATGCCTTTACCCTACTAGTTGCCATCAAGTCAATTCTGACTCATGGCGACCCCATACGTGTCAGAGTAAAACTGTACTCCATAGGGTTTTCAATGGCTAATTTTTCAGAAGTAGATCGCCAGGACTTTCTTCCGAGGTGCCTCTGGATGAATTCAAACGCCAACCTTTCAATTAGTAGCCGAATACTTAACTGTTAGCATGACCCAAGGACTCCTCCTTACCCTCAAACCTTGCTAAATGATCTGGGTTTACCAGAAGTCTCCAGAATATCCCAGAGCTTCTGAGCTCCCAGCATCTGGATCTTTATTCTTCAGAATGGACACATGCAGTCACGTACCCCCTTGTGTCTGTGCCCAGGAACTGATGCTTCCCCAACACCTTGCCCTTGAGATGGAACCTGCATCAAGCAGAGGGCAGCACCACCCCCACCCCAATGATGGGAGTAGCAGTGACAACTCCCATAAGCAAAACACACCAAAGGCATACAGCGCAGGGGTTAAGAGCTTGGGCATCTGGGTCTAAATGCTGGCTTCACGACCTGTTAGCTATGTGACTTCCAGCAAATTGCTTAACCTGTCTGAGCCTCGGTTTCTTCATCTGTAAAATGGGAGTACATATGGCTGCTTTGCTGACTAGCTGTGAGAATTAAACCATATAATGCATATAAAGTGCCTGACACAGTGCATCACAGCAACACGCAGGCCCTCTCAGTACGACAAACTGACAGATACGTGGGTGAGGGCCTAGCATATGCTTGGGAGAAGATGCTTTCTGTTATTATTTACACAGCCCTCTAAGCGTCTGGGAGGACAGGTGACTACGGTCTTGGAGGCTCCTGGAATGACAGCCAGGAAGAGCCTCCATGGAGCCTGGTCCAAGGAGGCAAGGGTGCCCGTAGTTTGGGGCACATGATACAGGAGAGAGCAGGCTGGAAAGGCAGGGAAGAGAGGATGGGTGAGCCGGGTCCGGGCTGAAGGAGCCTGGAACACCAGGGTGAGGAGCTCAGACTTGATTCTGCAGGCAAGGTGGCCTGGAGGTGTTAGAGCAAGGAGTGACGGGCCCAGAGCTATGGTTCAGGGATGTAAACCATTAGCATGAGGCAGACAGAGAGGTCCAGAAAGGAGGTGGTGAGGGTCTCAGCTTGGGGCATGGTATGGGAAAGAGAGGGGGGTGAGAGAACCCACAGGGCAGAGGGTGGGTGTTATGGATTAAATTGTGTTCCCTCAAAATATGTGTTGTACATCCTAACCTCTATACCTGTGGTTATAATCCCATTTGGGAATGGATTGTCTTTGTTATATTAATGAGGCAGGATTAATGTAGGGTGTGTCTTGAGTCACTCTCTTTTGAGATATAAAAGAGATTATACAAGCAAGCGAGAGAAGCAGAGATGGGGGAAGAGAGATGCCAAGCCACGTGAAGATCGCCCAGGAGCAGAAGCTCAAAGAGACAAGGACCTTCCTTCAGAACCGACAGAGAGAAAGCCTTCCCCTAAAGCTGGAACCCTGATTTCAGACTTCTAGTCTCCTAAACTGTGAGAAAATAAACTTCTGTTGTTAAAATTCATCCACTTGTGGTATTTCTGTTACAGCAGCACTAGATGACTAAGACAGTGGGTTAGAGAAGGCCCTGGGGCTTTGGGGTGGCAGGCACAGAGGGTAGATAAGGGCAGTACAGATGAGAAAACTGAGGTCCAGACAGAGGAGAGCCCAGATCAGAATCCACACCTCCAGGTTCCCTATGCAGGGCTCACTCTTTCTTTTTAAATAATCTATTTTACTATTTTTTGTTGTTGTTGAGAATATACACAGCAAAACATATACCAATTCAACCGTTTCTACGTGTACAATTCAGTGTCATTGATTACATTCTTCGAGTTGTGCAACCATTCTCACCTCCTTTTCTGAGTTGTTCCTCCCCCATTAACATGAACTCACAGTCCCCTAAGTTTCCAAGCAAGGCTTGGCCCGGTGGGGAGGGAGAGCATTGGGTTTCAATAACCCTTTTGTACCTTAGAGCTTCCTCGCACCACAGCCCCAGAGCCCAGCAGCTATTGGCACCTGTGACAGACCCATCTGAGCCTGCATTGTATCGGGTCCCCTAAGACCCCTGCTAGGCACACTTCATTAGGGCAGGAAAGGAGCAAAATGGCATTATATGGAAAATCCATTGCCGTCGAGTCGATTCTGACTCATAGCGACCCTATAGGACAGAGTAGAACTGTCCCATAGGGTTTCCAAGGCTGTAATCTTTACAGAAACAGACTGTCACATCTTTCTCCTGCAGAGCAACTGGTGGATTCAAACCACTGACCTTTCTGTTAGCAGCCGAGTGCTTAACCACTGAGTCACCAGGGCTCCTTCATTACACGGAAAAACGTCTTTAATTCAAATGGGTCCCTAATTCGCAGACGCTGTCTCCTCCCTCCAACTCCTAGGAGTGTTCACCTTTGACTTCAGGCATTTTAAACTCTCCTTTTTGTCACCACCCCTGCCCCTCAGTGTCATGTCAAAGGGAGGGCACACAGAGGGGGCTCCTTTTGCAGAGCTGACTGATTTGTGGCTCGTGGGGCTGACAGGGCAGGCTTCAGAGGGCGCAAGACCACCCCTCCCCGACTCCCGCCCCGCACTCTCTTTGCTGCTGCTGCTTTTTATCTAAAGCAGTAACCTCGTGTTGTACTGTGGCCTGGATATTAAGAGCCAAGCTCTAGAGTCAGACTGTGTGCTTCAAATTCCAACTCTGCCCCTTCTGTACCTCAATTTCCTCAACTGTGAAATGGGGTTAGTAGTAGTCCCAGCTACGGTGAGCATCAAATGAGATGATAGGTGACAAGCACTTGGCATGGTGCCAGGTTCATTGCAAGCACTCACCAGAGGTTCTTAGTGACAGTGGCCACTACCTTTTTAAGCACCTACTATGTGTCCGAAGGCAGTGGTGATTCAGTGGTAGAATTCTTGTCTTCCATGCAGGAGACCTGGGTTTGCTTCCCGGCCAATGCACCTCATACACAGAGACTACTCATCTGTCACTGGAGGCTTGCATTGAACCAGTGTCAGTGGAGCTTCCAGACAAAGACAGAGTAGGAAGAAAGGTCTGGCAATCTACTTCTGGAAATCAGGCAATGAAAACCCTATGGATCGCACAGCCCTATCTGCAACCAATCACATGGATGGCACAGGGCCAGGCAATATTTGGTTCTGTTGTGCATGGGGACCCCATGAGTTGCAGGCCAACTCAAAGGCAGTTAACACCAACAACAACGATGAGTCAGGTGCCATAAGTACACTACCACGTACCAAGTCCAGCTGGGTTGAGCTCTAAAGCGTGGGTTCTTTTGCTACCCTACGCTGTCTCCTGATGTGACATCTCCTGATGTCCCTCCTCTCAAATGTTCAAAACATCAGGGACATGAGACCTATCTGCAACCAAGGGCAGAAAGTTAGAGCTTGGCTCAGGTAGCTAGACACACTGTTTCCCTTCCAGTGGGGTTCTCCTGGACCACCCTAGCTCCACTGTGCCCTGAGAAAGGATCATCCTTATCCCAGCCCGCCTCCCCACAAGAGCCCTAAAACCTCCCCATCTGCCCCAGGTGCTTCCCCCGCCCCTCGGTCAGTGGCAGGACTGTCACTATGTAAATGTCTGTGCAAATCCCTTGGTATCAGAGCCACCAGCTCTCCGGTGAGGCAGGGCCACCTCCTCAGACCCCCACTTTGCAGCCATGAGGCCCCAGGCCTGGGCAGTCTGCTCCCTGTTCCTCCTGCTGCTGGCCCTGACGGAGCCAACTAAGAACTCTGACTTCCACCTGGCTGGGGACTACCTCCTGGGTGGCCTCTTCACCCTCCATGGCAATGTGAAGGGCATCATCCACCTCAACTACCTGCAGGTGCCCATGTGCAAGGAGTGAGTCTCTAGTGTGATGCTGGATGTGGTGGCCGGGTGGGGGCTGGCCCAATGGTCTTTGGGAGACCAAGCCAGGGCCAAGGGCTTAGAACTCTCCTCCTGACTCATTGCCAAACCCCCCATCCTGGGATCCAGCCCAGTGGTCCCCAAGGAGGCTTCGCAGAGTTGCCAAAATCCTTGGTGATCATGGTCTGAAACACTGAGACCGGGGTCATCCCAGTGCATGCTTCTTTATAAAGAGAGGATGTTTGAGCCTAGAGGGTCTTAGAGGCCATCAAAACCACTCTTACCTCCTTTGGCAACTGGGTACCCCCAGCATGTCACGGTCCAGTCTAGAAACCTTTAGGGGTAGAATGTAGTTTTTTTGTAGCAGATTTCCTTTTTCCATTCTGCTTGGATTCAAAGTGGAGGGGAAGGTTTGCATTTTTTGAAGACTGTGGGTGAGTGGGTAGGGGGGCTTCCACGATTGAAGAGGATTTTCTCTGCTCCCCTCCCACACATAGTGAGATTTTTAGGATGACAGCACATTTGAAGGCTAGGTGGGGCCATCTTCATGCAAGCATGAAAGCCAGGCCTTTGATTATAAAATAATTACCTTATATAGAAGGGATAAAGGCATTCAGGGAGACAGGGAGAAAAGAACCCATTACCCACTGCCGTCGAGTCAATTCTGACTCATAGCGACCCTATAGGGCAGAATAGAACTGTCCCATAGAATCTCCAAGGCTGTAAATCTTTATAGAAGCAGACTGTCACATCTTTCTCCTATGGAGCAACTGGTGGGTTCAAACGGCAGACCCTTCGGTTAACAGCCAAGTGCTTAACTATTGTGTCACCAGGGCTCCTGGGAGAAAAAAATGGGGGCACAAAAGATGATTAAGGGTTGACTAGAAGAAGTGCACCATTTCTATGATGTTGGTGGGAGACTTCTGCTGCCTGATAATGCTGAAGGTGGTGGTGGTACTGGTGACGGTATGAAACATGATGTTGGTGAGGATGATCTGATGTCTGCAAAAATAATGAAGAGTCTAATGAAGGTGATAGTGGTGATGCAAGTGATGATGGTGATGCTGGTAATGTTGATAATAGCAGTACGGGTGATAATGAAAAGTGTGAAGAGTGTCATAGGGATGGTGGTGGCTGTGGTGAAGATGGTGGTGGAGGTGATGGTGGTAGTGGTGGTGGTGGTGACAGTGATGGTGGTAATGGTGATCATGGTGATGGTGTTGACAGTGGCGGTGATTATGATAGTGATTGTGATGGTGGTGGTGATGGTGATGGTGGTAATGGTGGTGATGATGATGGTGCTGGTGGTGATGGGATGATGACTGTGTGATGGTGGTGGTGGTGGTGATGGTGATGGCGGTGGTGTAATGGTAGTGGTGATGGTGATGGTGATGGTGGTGGTGATGGTGATGGTGGTGGTGTGATAGTGGTGGTGGTGGTGTGTTGGTGGTGGTGGTGATGGCGATGATGATTGTGTGATGGTGACGGTGATGGTGTGAGGGAAGTGGTGGTAGTGACGGTGGTGGTGATGTGATGACAGTGGTGATGGTGGTGGTGTGATGGTGGTGGTGGTGATGGTGATGGTAGTGGTGTGATGGCAGTGGTGGTGGTGATGGTGGTGGCAATGGTGATGGTGACAATGGTGGTGGTGGTGGTGACGGTGATGGTGGTGGTGCGATGGTGATGGTGGTGGTGATGGTGATGGTGTGGTGGTGGTGGTGATGGTGGTGGTGGTGGTGATGGTGATGGTGACGGTAGTGGTGATGGTGGTGGTGGAATTGTGTGTACTTGTGCTCACAGGAATGTGGTGTCAGTGATGGTGGTGGTATGATTGGTAATAGGAATAGTGGATGATGATGGTGACGGTAGAGATGGTGATGATAGAGGTAACGGTAATGATTATAGTGGGTAACGGTGTTCACAGAGATATGGTGACATTGGTGGAGTGGTGAAGGAGATCACAGGGGTGGTGGTGATGGTAGCAGTGGTAGTAGTGATGGTGGCTACAGGTATCATGGTGTCAGTGGTGGCCATAGTGATGATGGTGATCCTAGGGAAGGGATGTGATGAAAATGATGTGGTAAAAGTGCCAGAATCTCCTGGAGCAGCTCCTTCTTGGGCAATGCCTTGGCTTTCCTGTAGCAGGCAGGAGGAATAGGTTGGCTCTCCCACCTCTTCCCCTCCTCACTGTGCATCTGCTTTTTGCCCCACTCTGTTGTGGCCCATCCAGGTATGAAATAAGGGTGGTGGGCTATAACCTTATGCAGGCCATGCGCTTTGCGGTGGAGGAAATCAACAACCACAGCAGCCTGCTGCCAGGCGTGCTGCTGGGTTATGAGATGGTGGACATCTGCTACGTCTCCAACAGCATCCAGCCCGTGCTCTACTTCCTGGCACATGAGGACTCCTTCTTGCCCATCCAGGATAACTACAGAGACTATATGCCCCGTGTGGTGGCTGTCATTGGCCCTGACAACTCAGAGTCCGCCAGCACTGTGGCCCACCTCCTCTCCCTCTTACTCCTTCCACAGGTGAGGCCTTGGTCCCAGGGAGAGGGGTCTGGGGAGGCGGAAGAGGGGTAGTTGTCTGGAGGGCTCACTTCCTCCCACCAGTCATGAGGGGTGGTGATAGCAGGAACAGAGGCAGGGTCAGGACATCAACCCCAACCCCTGGTTTCCTTCCCCCATCCTGAGAAGGCAGCCAGGCCTATTGGTTAAGAGCTCAGGCTTTGGAGGCAGGCAGACCTGGGTGTGCATCTTGGCTGTGAGTCTTGGCCACTGAGACGACTTGGCCAAGTGTCTCAACTTTGAGCCTCAGTTCCCCCAACCCCACCTCGCCGCCCCCTGTAAAGTAGGATACGAGTTCCATCCCAGGACTGTCTGAAGATGGTGCTCCAACTACATATGCGTTCCTAGCACACAGTAGGTAATTAATAATCTTATTGCTGTTATTATGTAAAGCATCTTGCACAGGACTGAAAATTCAGAATGTGCTCAATATTACCATGTGAAGTTGCCTAGCACAGGGGTCTGCATAGTAGCTCCTCAAAATTGCTGTTAGTATTACAGTTATAATTACAACCATTATCGTCATCATGATTAAAAGTGTCTAGTCCAGAACTAGCAGAGTATATTTGCAGTAAAGAGCAGCTCGCACAAGACTTGGCACACAGTTGTTGCTGTGTGCTGTCAAGTCAATTCTGTCTCACAGTAACCCTATAGAACAGAGTAGAACTGTCCCATCGGGTTTCCTAGGCTGTAACCTTTTTTTAAAAAATTTTTTATTGTATTTTAGGTGGAAGTTAACAGTGCAAATTAGTTTTCCATTCAAAAATTTATACACAAATTGTTTAGTGACATTGGTTGCAATCCCCACAATATGTCAGCACTTCCCCTTTCCCTTTCTACCGTGAGTTCTCTGTGTCCATTTGTCCAGTTTTCCTGTCCCTTCCTGTCTTCTTATCTTTGTTTTTGGGCAGGTGTTGCCCATTTGATCTCGTATACTTGACTGAACTAAGAAGTACGTTACTCACAAGTGTTATTGTTTGTTTTAGAGCCCTGTCTAATCTTTGGCTGAAAGGTGGACTTCGGGAGTGGCTTCAGTTCTGAGCTACCAGGGTGTCCAGGGGCCATAGCATCAGGGATTCCTCCAGTCTCTGTCAGACCAGTAAGTCTGGTCTTTTTCTGTGAATTTGAATTTAGTTCTACATTTTTCTCCTGCTCTGTCTGGGTCCTTCTATTGTGATCCCTGTCAGAGCAGTCAGTGGTGGTAGCAGGGCACCATCTAGTTCTTCTGGGCTCACGCTAGTGGGGGCTGTGGTTCATGCGGCCCATTAGTCCTTTGGACTAATGTTTCCTTGCATTTTTGGTTTTCTTCATTCTCCTTTACTCTGAACATGATGGGACCAATAGATGTATCTTAGATGGCTGCTCACAAGCCCTTAAGACCCCAGACACTACTCACCAAAGTAGGGTGTAGAACATTTTCTTTATGAATGATGTCATGCCGATTGACCTAGATGAGCCCCGAGACCATGGTCCCCAGCCCTCAGCCCCAGTAACTCGGTCCCTCAAGATGTTTGAATGTGTCTAGGAAGCGTCTATGACTTTGCCTTGGTCTAGGCTGTAATCTTTATGGGAGTAGATCACCAGGTCTTCTCTCCCGCAGAGCTTCTGGTGAGTTCGAACCACTGACCTTTCAGTTAGCAGCCGCGTGCTTAACCATTGTGACACCAGGGCTCCTTTGGCACACAGTAGGTAGTTATAAATACGGTAATTGTTGTACAGTTTTTATTATGTTAAGTGCCTAGCACAGGGCCTGACACATAGTAGTTGCTCAATAAATAGTAACGTTTTACTTGAGGCATCTAGTCCAGGACTGAATTCATGCCTTCATTTATGTAACAAATATGTATGGAGCCTCTACTGGAGTCCCTCGGTGGTGCAGACGGTTAACACACTAGTCTGCTAACTGAAAGGTTGGAGGTTCAAGTCCCCTCAGAGGCATCTCTGAAGAAGGGCCTGACGATCTGCTCAAAAAATCAGCCATTGAAAACCCTATGGAGCATGGTTCTACTCTGACACACATGGGATCACCATGAGTTGGAGTCGACTTGACAGCAACTGGCTTTGGGGCGACAGGTACTGTTGCAGAAACTGGGGATACAGCGGGGAAGAAAGCAAACGAAAATTACTTATCTTCTAGCGAGGAGAGCCAGACAATAAACGTAGCTAAAGAAGTGATACAGGATGTTAGAAGGTGAGAAGTGCAATGGAATAAAGAAAAACTAGAGCAGGGTAAGGGGGACTGGGAGTGTTGGTGGATGGGGCAGAGTGGGTAGAGGGAAGCTGGAATTTTGAACAGGTGGGTTAGGTGAATCTCACTGGGAATTGGGAAAAGACTTGAGGAGGTGGAGGAGTGAGGGAGCCATGTGGGTATCTAGGAGAAAAGCACTCCAGGAAGAGGGGTCATCTAGTGCAAAGACTGGAGGGTGCCTGCTGTGTTCACGGAGCAAGGTAAACAGAACTGGGTCCAGGGAGAGAGTAGGAGATGAAGTTAGAAAGATGAGGGCTGGAACAAATGATGGGGCCCCTTAGGGACCATTGAAAGGACTCTGGCTTTTCCTATATGACATTAGGAGCTGTTGGAGGGCTTTGAGCAGAGGAGTAATGTGACTTGATGTGTGTGTTTAAAATAGAGTCACACTGACTGCCATGTTAAGAGTAGTCTGCAGAGCGTAAGCAAGGAAGGGTAATGCCATAATCTGGGCCAGGGATGTTGGTGACTTGGACTAGGATAGAGAAAGGAGATTGTGAGCACTGGGCGGGCACACTTTGAAGGTAGAGCCAATGGGACTTGCTGACGGATTGAATGCAGTATGTGTGAGAAAGAGAAGTCAAGAATGACTCCAAAGTTTTGGATTGAGTAACTGGAAGGATGGGTTTTCCATAAACTGAGATGGGGAAGGTGGTAGTGAAACAGGTTCAGGGGAGACTAAGAGTTCAGTTTTGGATGTGTTAGATTTGAGATGTCAGGTAGGCAGTTGAAAATATGAGTGACATTTCGGAAAGAGGTTCAGGCCAGGTCTATACATTGGGCGCTGTCAGCATGGAAATGGTATTTAAAGCCAGAAGACTGGAAGACACCACCAAGAAAGGGAGGGTAGATGGGGAGGAGACCACCAAGGGAGGGAGGGTAGATGGGGAAGACGCCACCAAGGGAGGGAGGGCAGATGGGAAAGAGACCACCAAGGGAGGGAGGGCAGATGGGGAAGAGACCACCAAGGGAGGGAGGGTAGATGAGGAAGAGACAAGGACCAAAGCCTGAACCCTGGGGTCCTCCATGGTTAAGAGGTCACAGAGAAGAGAAGGAACAGCAAAGGAGGTGGAGCACCCAATGAGTCAGGGAGAAAACCAAAAGAGTGTGGAGTCCTGAGGCCGAGGGAGGAAATGTGACTAGATGATAAGGATGGTGAGGATGAAAGTTCTATGTTCAGAGACACACAGTAGGTGCTCAATAAATAGCATCACCATCATGATGGAAAGCACTTAGTCTAAGGCCTGGCACATAGTAGGTGCTCAATAAATGTTACTGCGATGATGATCTTGATGACAGTGTTGTAAATCACCTAGGTCTAGCACATAATTAAAAACAAAACAAAACCTGTTGCCGTCGAGTCGATTCTGACTCATGGCAACCCTATAGGACAGGACAGAACTGCCTCATTGTTTCCAAGGAGCGGCTGGTGGATTCGAACTGCCGACCCTTTGGTTAACAGCTGTAGCACTTAACCACTACACCATCAGGGTTTCCTAGCACATAATGGTGCTCAGTAAATATCATTATTATCATCATTATTACTTACAAAGCACTAGCCAAGGATCTGCCACACAGGTGCTGCTATTGTTGTAAAAGCAGCTAAGCCAGGGCTTGGCCCAAAGGGGTACTCACTACACGTTAGTAGTCTTGTTATTTTATTGCTATTCTTTTTATTGTGGTAAATATATAGACAACAAAACATTTGCCATTTCTACAATCTTTACATGTTCAGTTCAGTTGTGATTCTTTGAATCACTGGCTCAGGGCATGGTACACAATAGGTGCTTTATAAGTATTGCTAGGTGATGAGTATGAGGTTGATGTTGATGCAAGGCACCTAGCCCAGGGTCTGGCACACACTAGGTTCCCACTATAAATGTTACTATAAGGATACCCATGATGAGTGTGGTGTAAATCACTTAGTTCAGGGCCTGGTACACAGTAGGTGCCCAATAAATGTTACTAGATGATGGTAATGATAATGGTATAAAACATCTAGCCCAGCGCATGGCACACAGTAGGTGTGCTGTGTTATTACAACCATTATCAAGATGATGCTGATGCAAAGCAGTTAGCCTATGGCCAGGCACACAGTAGGTTCTCACTGAATGCCACTCTAATGATGACCATGATGATAGTAGTGTAAACCACCTGGTTCACGGTGTGGCACATAGTAGGTGCTCAATAAATGTTTCTAGGTGATGGTGAAGATGCAAAGCACTTAGCCCAGGGTGTCACACACAGTAGGTGCCCAGTAAGTGTTGCTAGATGTTGAACATGAGGCTGATGTTGATGCAAAGCATCTAGCCCAGGGTGTGGCACACAGTGGGCTCTCACTAAATGCTGTTATGATGGTGATCATGATGATGAGGGTGAACATCACCTAGCCTAGGGTGTGGCACACAGTAGGTGCTCCCTAAGTGTTATTACAAAGGTAATCAGGTTGATGCTGGTGTAAAGCACCTAATCTAGGGCCTGGCACACAGTAGCTTCTTACTAAATGTTACTACAGTGATGACCAGGATGATAATGGGGTAAACCGTCTAGTTCAGAGTACAGCACATAGTAGGTTCTCACTAAATGTTACTATAGCGAGGACCATGATGATGGTAGTGTAAACCACCTAGTCATAGGGGCCCTAAGTACATGTTCCCTAAACATCACCAGGATGACGATGGCGGGTGGGGCCCCCCCGAGGCCGGGCACTCTGTGGGGCCCTTGCTAATGCACCTGGTTCCTCTCCTCTGGCAGATCACCTACAGTGCCACCAGCGATGAGCTGCGTGACAAGCGGAGTTTCCCCTCGTTGCTGCACACGGTGCTGGGCGCAGAGCACCAAATTAGGGTCATGGTGCTGCTGATGCTGCAGTACCGCTGGAACTGGATCATCGTGCTGGTGAGCGGTGACGAGTACGGTCGCAAGAACAGCCACCTGCTCCGCGAGCAGATGGCGGGCCAGGGCATCTGCATAGCCTTCCAGGAGACGCTGCCCACGCCGCAGCCCAATCTGGCCATGACGGTGTACGAGCGCGAGCGCCTGGTGACCATTGTGGACAAGCTGCTGCAGAGCTCCGCTCGCATCGTGGTCCTATTCTCACCCGACCTGGCCCTGAACAACTTCTTCCTCGAGGTGCTGCGGAAGAACCTCACAGGCATCGTGTGGATCGCCTCCGAGTCCTGGTCCATCGACCTGGTCCTGCACAACATCACCGAGCTGCGCCACACAGGCACCTTCCTGGGCATCACCAGCAAGAACGTGCCTATCCCGCGCTTCAGAGAGTTCCGGGTGCGCAATAACCAGGCCGGGCCGCCCACACCCAACAAGACCAGCACACCGGAGACCTGCAACCAGGAGTGCGACACCTGCCTGAACACCACCAAGTCCTTTGACACCATCCTTACGCTGTCTGGGGAGCGCGTGGTCTATAACGTGTACTCTGCAGTTTACGCCGTGGCCCACGCTTTGCACAGCCTCCTGGGATGCAATGAGACCACCTGCTTCAAGGAGGTGGTGTACCCTTGGAAGGTGAGGATCAGACCTGCGGTAAGCCAGGACCCACGCACAGGTGCAAACTCTGTGGTTGCTGTGGAGACCTCAGGGCTCCCCCGAGCCGGGTAGTTTCTGGGTAAATGATGTGAGAAGCCAGGGAACCATCCCCCTGCCTCCATCCCTTGCTCATAGAACCAGAAGTCCTTCTTGGTGTCAAAGCAAAATTCATTTTATTAACTTAATCTTCACAGTCCAAAATAGTCTGTCCTTAGAGATTCAGGTGAAATTGGCTTGAAGGATACCAGCCAGGCAGTGGGAGCCCCAGTTTCTCCAGGGTTTAGGGTTTAAGAATGGACTTGTGTTTTCCCACCCATCTCTTTGAGGTCCTGTTTCAGATTTAGGGATCTTTTCATTGTCTCGTACACACTGACCTAATTCTATACCACCTGGATTCAGACCTGAGTCCCTGGGTGGTGCAAATGGTTAACCCTCGGCTGCTAACTGAAAGGTTGGAGGTTCGAGCCCACCGGGAGGCACCTTGGGAGAAAGGCCTGGTGATCTACTTCTGAAAAAGCAGCCATTGAAAACCCTGTGGAGCACAGTTCTACTCTGACACACATGGGGTCACCAGGAGTCAGAGTGGACTTAGAGGCAACTGGTTGATTTTGATTCAGACTTGGAATTTAAATCTGTGTTTTTCTGATTCACACACACATCCTACTCACATGAAGACTTCAGGGGTGTAGAAGATTTTACCGAACATCGTAGAAGTGGAGGGGATTTACATCAGAGACATACGGTTTACAGTCTGATATTTAGACATGTCTGTTCTTAAACAGTTCCTTGCCTTTTTTAGTTTGGGGCCAGCCTCCCACTCTATTGCTCAGCCATACCCCAACCCCTGCCCATGCCCCCTCTTTAGTCTCCTCTTCATCCCTTTTTCTAGATCCCCCCATCCCCAAATACCTCGTCACTGCTTTCACAGAGCAATTTAGTTAGCTCTTTAAAAAAAATTCTACCTATTTATTTATACCTCACCATCCCATAATCTTGGAGCCCTGTTGGCACAGTGGTTAAGAGCTCAGCTGCTAACCCAGAGGTTAGCAGTTCGAATCCACCAGCTGCTCCTTGGAAACCCTATGGGGTAGTTCTACTCTGTCCTATAGGGTCACTATGAGTTAGAATCGACTCGATGGCAGTGGGTTTGGTTTTTGGTCTGGGTCCCATAATCTTGAAGCCTAACCTTGTAACCTTAAGCACTTATCTTTAAAAAAAAGGCAAGTGTTTTCTAAAGGGAATTTTGGTGTCAGCTGCTAAGCTCTCTCCATGAATTATCATTCATCCCCAAACACCCTGTGAGTAGACACTATTACTACACTATTGCTCTCCATACACAGATGAAACTGAGGCTCAAAGATGTGATGTCACCCAGCTAGGGAGCAGCCAGGCTGAGACTCAACCCCACGCCATCTGAGTCCATCTGGGAGCTGTTACAATGGTCCCAGGGGTAGGGGAGGGGGTAGTGATGAAATAGGGCAGGGGCAGTGGGGACAGAGAGGAGGGCACTGCTGAGGGGGAGGTGGAGAGGGCCTTGGGGGTGATGAGGGGACTTGGAGTTGGTGGCTGGTGGTTGGTGGTGGCGGGGATTAGATTAGGGGAGGCTGGCAAATTCATGTCCAAGTGAAAATGTTCAGCAGGTTATCGGAATATACAGAGTCAGAGTTTTGAATGCTTCTCAGAATCTTTTGGTCAAATAGGTGCAATGGAGCCGTTGGGCCTCAGAGGCACCATTCAACCTGCAGAGCCAGGGCCCAACCTGGATTATTTGCTGCCACCCCAACCCCGCATCCTCATGTACTTTTCACCATGCCTTTCTCTCCACCTCTGTCCACTCCTTGGGCTTCTCAGCTATGGCCCGTTTGTCCATATGTTGGGAGGCAGGTGATACCGAACAGAGCGAAGCTTTGGAATGAGACAGACTTGGGTTCAAATCCTGGCTCTGCCACCACTAGTTGTGTGACCTTGGGCAAGTGATTTAATATTTCTGAGCCTCAATTTTCTCATCTGTTAAGCAGAAGGAATGATTATCTATGCTGCAGTCATTGAGAGAATTAACAATAATGTATGTGGATGACCTGGTGCAGAGTAGAGGCAGAATGTGCTCCTACTCCCTTCTCCCCCTTCTCCTCCCCTCTCCCCCTTCCCCTCTCTCTCCCCCTTGGCTCTCCTCCTCCCCCTTTCCTTCCCCTTCTCCTCCTCCCTTTCCCTCCTCCCACTCCTCCTCTTCCCCGTCATTCATTTCTGACACCAGTATCTGGTCTTAGGAGAGAGGGTTGGGCTAGAGAGGTGGATTCAGGTCTGCTTTGGAGGCAGAGCCTCTGCTGGGGGTGTAAGTGGGGCTAGGTGAGGAAGGAGAAATGGGGGTCAGACCTGATAAGACTCTCCAAGATGCCTAACTGCTGCCAATAGTCCAGGCCCCCACCCACGCAGGGAATTTCAGCAGCAATGCTCTCTTACCCCATACGTTGGAACCCTTGAATCCCAGGTTGCTTAGCCCAGCTTGGTGAGGTCACCGCAGGGGTGTGACATGGAAACCAGGCCCTGGCTCCCCAGGGGCTTCCAGCTCTTCTCTGCCATCCTGATGTCACCCTCAGTCTAACTGCCTGGTTGAGCCTCCCTCCTCTCAGGCTGAGCTCCTAAGACCATTGTCCTTGGGCCCAGCAACCTGCAAATTCCAGAGACTTCTAGAGCCAGCACTGCTCCTTGGCTGTCTGGCTGGCTGTCACTCTCCAAGGTGAGTCCCCAAGATGTAGCCCAATAAATTCTCCCATTTATGAAAGAAAAATCTAGGAGCCAGACTGATGGAATATCTGAGCTGGAAGCCCTGTAGGGGTCATCTGGGAAGTCTCAGCCCAGAGAGGTTCAGTGACTTGCCCAAAGTCACACAGCAAATCGAGGACAGAACTAGGGCTAGAATTTAGGCCAGAGGATACAGATGAGAGAGACAGTGGACTCTGGACCACAAGCACTGGGTCCCAAAGGAACGGCTGAGGCAACTTCCAGGGAAAAGAAATCATAGCAATACCTTCTACTGATTGAGTACTTGCTATTTTCAGCTACTGTTCTAAGCCCCTGGCATAGATAAACTCATTTATTTCCCAGAGCCCAGAAGATATGGTTTTTATTGCACCCATATTGCAGAAGGGAAAACTGGGGCTCAGAGAGGTTAAGTGACAGACCCAAGGCCTCACAGCTAGGAAACAGCAGAACCGGGACCCAAACCCAGATACGTCTGATTCTAGAGCCAGAGCTCTCAGCCACTGCCTCCCAAACTGCAACATTTTTTAAGACTTCTTGTCCCCGTTTTAGAGATGTGGAAACTGAAGCTCATGGGATAGTAGAATCTTTCTCAGGTCTGACTGGCCTGTGGTGCCAGTCCATTTCCCTTCCCCTTGGCCCCTCCAGCTACTTCAGGAGATACGGAAGGTCAATTTCTCCCTCCTGGGCCACCAAATCTTCTTCGACAAGCAGGGAGACCTGGCTGTGGGCCTGGAGATCATCCAGTGGCGATGGGACTTGAACCAGAACCCTTTCCAGAGTATCGCCTTCTACCATCCTGCACAGGGGCAGCTGTTGCACGTCTCCCCCATCTCCTGGAACACCCCCAACAACACGGTCAGCCCTCAGAGGGACTGGTGGGTGGGCGGGTCTGGGGGCTGGGCATTGAGGTTCCCACTGGGTTGAAAGGACCCCTTTTACCAAGGAGGGCACCCAGAGGCTCATTGTTGATAGCTGGTGGGGTCTCCGTGCGGGTGTATAGTCTGGGGTTTTGTCCTTGCTCCGTTGACTGAAGACTGTGGAAGTTCAAGGCTTTCTGGCCCCCCAGGACAGAGAGGCTCAGGGGCCTCTGGTAAGTAAATTTATTGAACACATGTGTACCTGGCTGCCTGCTAAGGAGCTCAATACTCATAACAACACTTTGAGATAGAAGTTTTACCATTCTCCCCCTTGTATGAATTAGGAAACTGAAGGCACAGAGAAGTTGTGTGACCTGCCTAAGGCCACACAGCTTGTCCAAGGTGGAGCTAGGAGGCAAACTCAGGCAGCCTGACTCCAGCACCTGGGCTCTCAGCCACTGTCATAGGGTGGAGAGTCTGTTGTAGGGGTACAGGGAAAAACCAATAGCTAAGAGCTAACATGCGTTGTGCACTTGCTCTGTGCCAAGCCTTGTTCTCAGAGCTTTATGCGTATTTGCTCATTTGAACCTCATGGCAACCCTGTGAGTTGGGGATCATTATTACCCTCATTTTGCAAACAAGGACATCAGGGCAGAGATGACGTTGCTTCCAAAGTTGACGGAGCTAGGAAATGGCAGAGCAGGAGCGTGAGCCCCTAGCTTCTGACGCCCTGACACAGGTTGCTTTTTTCCCCCGCATAGCTTCAGGCCAAGAGGCATGAGACAAGAAGGGCATGCTCAAGTCTTGGATTAAGTTCAAAAAGATTGTGTTTTGTCAGAAAAATGACCCAGGGAACCCCGCAGGCACACCACAGGTGCTTAATAAATGTGTGTGGGATGCAGAATGCGCCCCTACAGCAAAACCTCACAAAAGCTGTCTTCACTTTCCTCTCCTTTCTCCTTCCAGGATTTCTCTTTCCAGAAAATTTTTTTTAAAACAGTGGCTAATTGTGACTAGATATATACAATATATACATACAGTAACAATGACAAAACAACCACCCATGTGTCCACCAATCAAGCTAAAAAGTAGAACATTCCAGGACCTTGGAAACACTCTGGTGGCCCTCCCCAATAGCATTCCCTCTTTCTCTCATGGAGGTGACCACTATCCTGACTTTTATTTTAAGAATTTCCATGGGTTTCTTCTTGGATTATCAGCTCTGAATATATATATATATATTGTTAGCTGTTGTCAAGTTGGCCCCCAACTCATGGTGACCCCATACACAACAGAAGAAAATGCTGCCTGGTCCCATGCCATACCTGTGATTGACTGTGGGTGTACCCTTGTGATCCACAGGGCTTTCATTAGCTGACTTTCAGAAGTAGATTGCCAGGCCTTTCTTCCTAGTCCATCTTAGTCTGGAAGCTCCACTGAAACCTGTTCAGCATCATAGCCACACACAAGCCTCCACTGGCAGATATGTTCTTGTTTGGTCCCCAGTCTTTCCAAATTAAAAAAAAAAAAAATATATATATATATATATAAAACTTGTTGCTGTCGAGTTGATTCTGACCCATAGTGACCCTACAGGACAGAGTAGAACTGCCCCATAGGGTTTCCTAGGAGAGGCTGGTGGATTCAAACTGCTGACCTTTTGGCTAGCAGATGAGCTTATAACTGCTTTGCCACCAGGGCTCCCATATATATATACACACATACATATATCACTAAATAATATATATATAAAATAAATATATACCACATCTGTCAAATAAAAATATATACATATATACACATACATATCTGTGTCTGTATCTATCTATCTTTCCTTGATACTCAGTCTTTCCAAATAGAACTTTCTCTCCTTTTTCTGGGACCCCCATTATGCATATGTTGGTATGCGGAGGGTTTCCAACAGGTCTAAGGATTTGTTCATTTTTCTTTATTCTTTTATCCTTCTATTTCTCAGACTGAATAACCTCAATTGACCTATCTTTCAGTTTGCTGTTCTTTCACATACTCAAAAGTTGGTCTCTTCTAGAAATTTTTTAATTTGTTATTGTACATTTCAACTCCAGAATTCCTATTTGATTCACTTTTATAATTTTTATCTCTTTACTGATATCTCCTTGGTGAGACATCATTCTCATACTTTCCTTTAGTTCTCTGATATATTTTAAATAGCTGACCTAAAGTCTTTGCCTAATAAGTCTAACTTCTGGACTTCCTTGGGGACAATTTTTTTTATGTAATTTTTTTTATTGTACTTTAGATGAAGGTTTACAGAACAAATAGTTTCTCATTAAGCAGTACACGTATTGTTTTATGATATTGGTTAACAACCCCACAACATGTCAACACTCTCCCTTTTCGACCTTGGAGGAACTTTTTTCTGGTGAAAATGTACATAGCCAAAGTTACACCATTTCAAAAGTTTCTACACGTAAATTTAGTGACATCGATTACATTCTTCTGGTTGTGCTGCTATTCTCACCATCCTTTTCTAAATTATTCCATCACCATTATCTTCAACTCACTGGCCCGTAGGCTTTCCATCAAACCTTTTGAGTTGCTGTTGCCAATTTGATCTCACATAGATAATCCTTTTTTTTGTACCTTAGATGAAGGTTGGCAGAACAAATAGCTTCTCATTAAACAGTTAGTACACATATTGCCCTATGACAATGGTTAACAACTCCACGATATGTCAATATTGCTCTGGGACAATTTGTATTGATAGCTTTTTTCCTGTGTATGGGCCAAATTTTCTTGTTTCTTTGCATGTCTCATAATTTTTTTTTTGTTGAAAACTAGACATTTTAAACAATATAATGTGGCAACTCTAGAAATCATATTCTTCCTTCTCTCCAGAGTTTGTTGTTGTTGCTTGTTTGTTTAGTGACCTTTCCGAATGAATTCTGTGAAGTCTGTATTCTTTGTCACATGTAGCCTCTGAAGTCTCTCCTTGGTTAGCTTAGTGGTCAACTACTGATTGGACAGTGATTTCCTTAAACACCTGAAACCAGTAAGTCTTACAGTTTTTGCTGAGGTACTGTGTATGTGTGTTGGCACATGCCTTCAACACTCAGCCAGGCAGTTGACAACTTAGTCTTCATGTCTTGCTTATGCAGAGCCTCAAGGTCAGCCAGAGTTAAGCATTTAGGACTTTATCAGGTCTTTCCTGAGCATGTGCTCAGCCCTGGACATACACATGGCTAGATACCCAGAATATATCAGAGCTTTTCAAAACCTTATGGCTATCTCAGGAGCCCTGGTGGCACAGTGGTTAAGTGCTTGGCTGCTAACCGAAAGGTCAGCAGTTCAAACCCACCAGTGCTCCATGGGAAAAAGGTGTGGCAGTCTGCTTCTGTAAAGAGTTACAGCCTTGGAAACCCTATGGGGCAGTTCTACTCCTTCCTGTAGGGTTGCTATGAGTTGGAATCAACTTGATGGTAATGGGTTTGGTTTGTTTTTTGGTATGGACACCTTTTAAGCTTTTGGCTTAATCTATTGTTTGCCCCAACTATTAGCCACTGCTTTAGGCAGTCATGAAGTTAAACAATTACCTCTAAATATTTTTGACAAATACCCCAGGAAAAAAGGCTTTCGCACTGGGAGAGCTCTGAATCAGGTTAAATAAGGACAGCCTTGCAAGTGGGGTGTTCTAGGGAACCATCAAGCATGTCAAAAACTGACAGTTCTCTGGGAATGAGGCTTTGAAAGCACCTCAGCCTTATTCTGCCCCCTCCAGTGGCTGCCAGGCTGCTAGTTTTCACCATGATTATGGGATGTTTGCTTATAAGGCTACCACAGAGCTGGAGAGAGGGGGATGGGAATAAAGCAAATTAAAACGTCACAAAACTCAGATTCAACAATTCTTCTTAAATAAATACTTCCCAGATTGCTGCATCCTTTAGTTAAATCCCAGACTTCTGGAAAATTTGATTCTGACTGTTTTTGCCAGTTCTCATTCGTTTTATTTTCAGAGGTCTGCGTTGTGCCATTTTCACTGATGTTATCTCCCAAGACAGTGAATGTGTACTGCAGTTCCTCCCATGTAAATGTGAATAGCTTTTTATTCTTCTTACTGATGGGACTTGAAGAGAATACATTCGCCAGATCAATAGCTACTACCAAGTACCAGAGGTTGTGTTGTTCGATTCCAGTACAAATATTACATCCAACACAGCCACCACTTGGTAAAGTCAAGGGTGGTTTTCCTTCATTTATCATGCTTTAGCTAGTGAATTAAATGGGAACATGATGGAGATCACCTGTCTTGGTGGTGTTAATCTTTGAAATTCCTCTCAGGATGATTTTCTCTCTTGGCTAGGGTTGTGGGAAATTTCAGGGCCTTTCACTTAGCCCTTCATATCATAAAGGCTCTTACCCCATAAGTCAGGAAACCAGTGTGAGGGTTTGCCCTCACGGATCAGGGCAAAATCCATAAGATGAGTTCACAGACCCACTGGACCTATTACAAAAAGTACATGGGCCAAGGCTCCATGTATCATCTGGCCTCCATGAGCCACCCTCTAACAAGGGGACCATGATGACATTTCAGATTTGCTAGTGTAGTGTCAGTTCAGACCCTGTACATAATAGCCCTCAAAAGAGCTAGGCATTTACCTTTTTCCAGTGTACAGTTACTCTTAATAAATGGCTCTTTGTGGGAAGAATTGGGAAAATACTTACTGTGTATATTTGCTGTGGTATTGTAGGGGCCTCAAGGAGACTTACGCTCCCCCTTCAGTCAATGAACTCTGGGTCCGTGAACCAGTTTAGATCTGTAAATTGGGTGGAGGATCACAATTTCCCATTGTGGCAGCTGATGTCAGCTTATATTCACCAACTTTTGATTTGTTTTGGTTATACAAGTCAAGTAACACCCTAGTCAGCCATCTCGCTACACAGCTACACAATTAAGTCCTCTGTTTGATTTTCATCACAGCCTTTCCTGCCACTGCAGGAGAGATGATCTTTAGAAACTGTCAGGGATGGCTTCTCGCTTTCATAGTGTGCCTTGAGCTAATTGTTGGATGGCCAGTACCTGCCATTTTCTTTTTTTGAGGTTTATAAAGCAGTTAACGAAACAAACTAACTTCACAGTCCTTATAATTACCATTGCCTGAATACTGTTCAAATGCCACAGTTACTTCATCAGTCGGTGCTTTACCTTCCCCTTGTACCTCATCCCTGTCCACCATAGGTGAGAGTCTCAACAATTATGATGCTGCTGTATGCCAGGAGATATCACTACCCCGCTTATCACAAGTGTTGTGGTTCTTATCACTGACCAGTTAATGACTGAGTTCCTGAGTCCCATCCTAAGAGATTACTCTCCAGGACCACTCCTGGTACCAACTATCTTAGCCTGGTTTCACCGTACAGAGCAGAGCTTGAAACACAAAGGCTTACATTGTTGTTAGGTGCCATTGAGTTGGCTCCAACTCATAGCGATCTTATGTATAACAGAACAAAACGTTGCCCGGTCCTGCGCCATCCTCACAATGGTAGGTTTGTTTGAGCCCATTGTTGCAGCCACTGTGTCAATCTATCTTGTTGAAGATCTCCCTCTTTTTTGCTGACCCTCTACTTTACCAAGCAAGATGTCCTTCTGCAGGGATTAGTCCCTCCTGATAACATCTCCAAAGTAAGTGAGACAAAGTCTTACCATCCTCACTTCTAAGGAGCAGAAGAGTTACATGCAGGTAGTTTATTCTGGGAGGTGAAGCTAGGTAACAGTAGGGGCTGAGGACAGTGAAGCAGGGAAGGAAGGAAAGGCAATACAAAGGTACAATCTTGAGCTAGTCACTCTCTGGGCAATTGAAGTTCAATCTTATGGGGACTTTCTGAGATTCATGTAGAAGACACCTCAGAATTGTTTGCCTGAGGGACAGAGAAGGGGGGCATTTATTCACTGGTTCCTGTCTCCCACTGGTGAAGCTTTTCCTCATGAGGTATTAATACCCTCACACTTCAAGGTCACACTGTGTGAGTGTTGAGTGGGTTCCCCCAGGTGTCCCACACTACAATATCAGAGAATGAGATATTTGTGTTTGAAATCAGATGCTGTTGGTTTAACACCTACAGGAAGTTTATTCCACAGCAAAATGGTGGACTAAGATATGGGCCATGAAGATGTAAGGTGAGACATAAGAAGTGTCTGTAACAGATGAGTTGATTCTTGGCTTTTCCAACTAAGTGCTTGGGGTTTGGCTTTCTCAGGTATGCCAAGTCAAAAATTCCAAAATTTTGTTACTGTTGACTTATCTTTTGCTCTCTCTGTTCTTGTCGATTTATATCTTTAAAAATATCCCCCTTTGCTATAATTTTAGTGGGATTTCGGAAGGAAGCAAAAAAGATGAGTGTTCAATCTGCCATCTTAAGAAGTTCCCAATCTCTCCTGCACCCACTCCAATGAAGCGTTCTTGCACACTGCTCTTCTGTTGATTTAGTCAATTCCACCAGTGTCCCTATGTTGCCAGTCCAATGGTCAGCACCATAGTCAACCTATGAATAACATTTGACACAGCTGATTATGTCCCCTTCTGAGAAATAGTATCTTTACTTGGATTCTGGGCCCCTCCCTCTCCTGGGCCATGACTACTCCTGGGTCTCCTTTCCTGGTTCCTCCTCATTCCCCTGACCTTTAAACACCAGAGGGTGCCAAGGCTCAGTCATTGGACTTTTTCTCTTCTCTGTCTGTATGGCTTTAAATATCATCTGTATGCTTACAATTCCCAAGTTTATTTCTTCAGACTGGACTTCTTCTTTGAACTTCAATTCAGATATCCACCTGCCTACTTAAACCTGCTCTGCTGAGGCATCCCCCATCTCAGTAAAAGGCAATGCCATCCTTCAAGTTGCTCAGGCCAAAAACATTGGTGTTATCGTGGACTCCTTTCTTTCTCAGACCCCTCATCCAATTCAGCAGCAAACCCTGTCCATTCTACCTCCAAAATACATCCAGAATCTGACTGCTTCTCACCTCCTCCACTGCCACTTCTTTTCTCACCTGGACTATTGCAGTAACACCTGGTCTCCTGCTTCTGTCCTTGACCCTCACAGTCTATACTCAACACAGAAGACAGAGCAAGTTTTCTTGCATTAAAATAAAGTCAGATCCTGTCACTTCTCTGCTCAGAACCCTCCAGCAGCTTCTCATTTCACTCAAGTATTTAGACTCCACCTCTTTGAACTCATCTCCCACTCTCCCTCTTGCTTATCCTGTTTGAGCCACAGTGGTCTCCTTGCTGTTCCACAATCATACCAAGTCTTCCCTACCTTGGGGCCTTTGGACTTGCTGTTCCCTCTGCCTGGCACAGATAGCTTCACAGCTTGCTCCCTCACAGCCTTCAGGTCTTTGCTCCAATGCCACCTGCCCAGTGAGGCCTTCCCTGTGTACCCCATTTGGAATTGCAATCTGCTCGACCTTCATTCTTCATTCCTCTTGTACTACTTTATTTTTCTTATTGACGTTTATTACCATCTGTCATATAGTTACACGTTTGTTGTCTCTCCTTCCCCGTGAAAATATTAATTCTATGAGAGAGCAGGGACTTTGCTCATTTAGGTTACTGCGATATTTCCCAGGTCTGACATCAGAGTGTGCCCAATAACTTTTTGAATGAATGAACGAATGTCAGGATGAGAGTCCAAGGGTAAGAGGTCGGTGTAATTTGGTTACTTAGGGGACAGTGAAGAGATGGATTTGTAAGAGGGGGAGGTTACATGGTAAGGGAGGGTGGGCTGTAGGTCTGGATAAGGGGTGTGTGTGTGTGTGTGTGTGTGTGTGTGTGTGTGGTGTATACATTGCCTGCACATGTGTGTGGTCACGTGGGAGGCCGTGAAGACCACAGAGGGCCTGGGAAGCCTGGCAGGAGACAGACTTTTAATTTTGTCTGATGGAGCATCACTAGGTTTCTTCCAAGAGAAAGTTTCAGCAAAGAGAGCAAGACTTCTGGAAACATTATCCGACGGCCACGTACAGGAGAGACAGAAGGGTGGAACATGAAGGCAGACCTCTGAGAGATGAGAAGAGTGGTGTTCTGGGGTCAAGTGGTCCTACTGTGGATCCCCTTGTCCTGGCCTTTGGCCTTCCTTCTTCTTTTTTAATTTCATTGTGCTTTAGGTGAAAGTTTACAGCTCAAGTTAACGTCTCATTCAAAAATGTATACATATATTGTTTTGTGACATTGGTTGCAATCCCCACAATGTGACAACACACTCCCCCTTTCCACTCCAGGTTCCCTGTGTCCATTTGTCCAGTTTCTGTCCCTTCCTGCCTTCTCATCTTGCTTCTGAGCAGGAGTTGCCCATTTGGCCATGTCTATTTGATTGGACAAAGAAGCACGTTCCTCACATGTGTTATGTTTTGTTTTATAGCTGGGTTAGGTCTTGGCAGGCAAAACCATGAGAGTCCTACAAAGATCTCCTTCTAGGATGACTCCTTCTCGTGAGCATCCTGCTAACTGGGGAGACTGAGGGGATGGGGTCACCTGAGTGTAGGAGAAGCGAGCTCAGGGTGTCTTGCCCTCCTCCCTGCAGATCCCCTTGTCCATGTGCTCCAGAAGCTGCCAGGCTGGGCAGAGGAAGAAGCCGGTGGGCCTCCACCCCTGCTGTTTCGAGTGCATCGATTGCCTCCCTGGCTCCTTCCTCAACCAATCAGGTACCGCTAGCAGCACCCTGCCCCCATGCCTGCCCTGGCCCCAGTGTTGTCTCGAGGGCACCTCCCCTTTGGCAGGGTCTCTGGTGTTTCCCCAGGGAGTGTAAGTGTCCAAAAGCTGGAGATCACATCTGCTTCGTCTTGTATCTCCCCAGTACCTGGTGTAGAGAAAACTCCTTAACACAGGTTGGTTCAGGGAGGGAGGGAGGGAGAGAGGACCACACTCTCCAAAGGCAGGGACTATAAATGAGCCCACTCCACACACACGTAACCCAGGGATGTCAGGTCAATGGCCACTAGATGATGCATGAATGGATGGCTCCCCCAGTAGGAGGGCTGTTTCAGGCCAGCAGGGACAGTTCCATATGTATCTCTCTGGCCTCCCAAGTGCCTAGTGTAGTTCAGAGCATATAATAGTTACACAGTGAATGTTTGTTGAATGACTTCCTTGGTTAGGAGAACGAACATCCCTCCCTATAGAATATTAACTCCAGGAAAGTGGGAGCAATGTCAGCTCTCTGTCCACGTTAGTGCTAATTTTTTTTTTCATGGCTTCACTGATTCATAAATGAAGTGTATGAATATCTCTACCAGTAAAAGCACTTACTGTGTGCTTGGCAGAGTAGAGGGCACAGAGTAGGTGGTCAACCAGAGGGCGTTCAATGATTTCACTGGCCTTCCTCTCCCAATTGCTTGAAACCAGGGGCTGGATTTTATCCATCTCTCTGTGGCTTCCCACCCCTGGTGCCAACCACTGCAGATGGTGTCAAAAATTTTGTTGAATGACTTCTTTGAATAAATGGCTGAATGTCTCTCCCACCAGAGCGTAATGTCTTGGAAGAGAGGGATTATAGTTGTTAGGCTCTGAGTCAAAGAGATTTCAGTTCAAATCCTGCCCCATCACTTACTGGCTTTGTGACTTTGGGCAAATGACTTAACTCGGCAGAGCCTCAGTTTCCTCATCTGTGAAATGGGGTTGCTCTAGGGATTTGATGAGCCATTGCATGTAAGGGACTCAGTGAGTGTTGGTGACCTGGCCCAGTGCAAGGCAAGAAGAATGTAGGTGCTTGGAAGTTAGGTTCGGCTAATGGGAGTTGCTGTGGGCTCTTGCAGATGAATTTGACTGCCAGCCCTGCCCAAATTATGAGTGGTCCCATAGGAGGAGCACCTTCTGCTACAAGCGACATATGGCCTTCCTAGAATGGCACGAGGCACCCACCATCTTTGTGACTGTGTTGGCTGCCCTGGGCTTCCTCAGCACACTGGCCATCCTGGTTATCTTCTGGAGATACTTCCAGACACCCATGGTCCGCTCGGCTGGGGGCCCTATGTGCTTCCTGATGCTGACGCCACTGCTGGTGGCATACCTGGCAGTGCCGGTGTACGTGGGGCAGCCCACAGTCATCACCTGCCTCTGCCGCCAGTCCCTCTTCACCCTCTGTTTCACCATCTGCATCTCCTGCATCACCGTGCGCTCTTTCCAGATTGTTTGTGTCTTCAAGATGGCCCTCCGCCTCCCCAGGGCCTACAACTACTGGGTCCGCTACCACGGGCCCTATGTCTTTGTGGCATTCTTCACTGTACTCAAGGTGGTCATTGTGGTGGGCAGCGTGCTGGCCACGACCACCGTCCCCACCATGCTCAGTGACCCGGATGACCCCAAAATCATGATTCTCTCCTGCAACCCCAATTACCACAAGGTGCTGCTGCTCAGCACCAGCTTGGACCTCTTCCTCTCAGTGGTGGGCTTCAGCTTTGCCTACATGGGCAAGGAGCTGCCCACCAACTACAGCGAGGCCAAGTTCATCACCCTGAGCATGACCTTCTACTTCATCTCCTCCGTCTCCCTCTGTACCTTCATGTCTGTCTACCAGGGTGTGCTGGTCACCATCCTGGACCTCTTGGTCACTGTGTTCAACCTCCTGGGCATCAGCCTGGGCTACTTCGGCCCCAAGTGCTACATGATCCTCTTCTATCCGGAGCGCAACACGCCAGCTTACTTCAACAGCATGATTCAGGGCTACACCATGAGGAAGGACTAGTGCTGCCCATTGGCGTCTGGGACAGAAGGCCTCAGTTTTGGGGGATGGAGGCCAGGGGCATGCTTGTTCAACCCAAAATGGAGCTCTGACTGTTACCACCTCTCAGAGGATTTTTGCATCCTGACTGTTTTCACCCACTTAGTGATGGATATCTAAAAACACTCACATGTTTTTTCTTTCTGTTGAGCTGTTTCGCTTGCCAGGCACTGCCACCCCATTTCATGAAACGACCCAAGGTGACCTATTGGTCTTCAAGGACAAAGTCCAATTTAGCAGCCTACGTCCGCCATCTGGTGGTCACAATGGGTATCTGCAGGTTCTGGCTCATGTAAGGGAAGCCATACTGGTTGTCTGGGCTTGGGTTGGGGTGGGAGGGTGAGTTCATAGGCTGCCTAGCCATTATTCACTAGCTGTCTTATGTGTCTGCATCTCATTTCCCCGATTCCCCTAGAGCTCCGACCCAGGCTTCTGTGTTCTAAGTAATGGCTGGGCACAGTGGCGATTCGTAAATGCTCGTGAATAAACCTCCCTTGGGTGAAATGAATGAGCTTCCTTCTTGTTTTCAGAAGTCCCCTGAGCAAGGACACGGGCCGTAAGAGTCAGAGAGACCTCAGCTTCAATACCAGCATTGTCACTTCTGAGCTGTGTGACCTTGGGCGAATTATATACTGTTCCTGAGACTACATTTCCCCATCTCTAAAATGGGAACAGAGTCCTTTGGTGGTGCAAATGGTTAATGCACTCGGCTGCTAACCAAAAGGCTGGAGGTTCAAGTTCTCTCAGAGGTGCCTTGGAAGAAAGGCCTGGTGATCTACTACCAAAAAATCACCATTGAAAACCCTATGGAGCACATTTCTACTCTGACACACGTGGGTCACCATGAGTCTGAATAGACTCAACAGCAACTGGTTTTTTATTATGGTTCTTATTTTACACACGGGAAGAAAAGGGGGAGGCTCCAAGATGTTACAGAACTTGCCAGGGTCACAAGCCTGGTCTGAGCCCCACAGCCCAGAACCACCATCGTCCGTCGGGTAAGACCCAGATGGCCCTGCCTGGACAGCAGGCACAGAGGAACCGCAGTGTACCACGGGGAGATTCTGTCTCCCCAGACAAGTGACCCTGGTGTGGTAGTGGCTTCAGATTGTAGTGAGATGACCAGGTGACCAGAAAAGACTTCAGGGGAAGCCATCATTTGAAAAGAACCTTAAAGGACAGAGAAGTTTCTGGAAGGCAGGGAGTGTGAGTATGTGGGGACGGAATTCAGGGAACAGCAGGAGTAAAGCTGCAGTGGGAGGGAAGCCCAGGGTGTTCCGGGATGGGCATGTGGCTGGGTGTGGCTGGGAGTTAGAACTAAACGTGGAAGGACAGCTGGGCCTAGATGCAAGGTCTCTGGCCCGGGTGTCTGGACTTGGTCCTTCCTGTGTGGCCACTGCCAGCTGAGTGGGGCAGGGTCTCATGCACATGCTGGCTTGCCCCTCCGTCACCTCTGTGACCAGCCTCCTCTTTGGCTCCATCCTTTTCCCACGGCGGTTAGCATTGACCTGGCTTCCTGGGCTGGAGACTGCTGCAAGGAGGCCTTGAGGACGGCCTGTCAGGACCTTTTCTGAATATCTCTCAGAGGCCCTCCCCTCCTCTATCCTCTGCACTTGCTCCCAGAGTTGCCCAGAGCCTTGGCTGAGCCCTGCCTGGCCCTGTGCTCTCGGGGGGCAGCCTCACATGGTCTGTTCCTGAATGTAGCTGTGTCTCATGCCCCACACCCTCGGGCCCAGATGGCGGAGGCTCAGGGAGTTTAAGCTCCTAATTTTCTTTTCTTGCTTGCTTCTGATGACTTGGTTTAATTTTTTTTTTTTTTTAAGAGATAATGACCTCATTTTCCTGGTTTGGCCTCATGGACCACCATTAGAGATGAGAGTCCTAGAATCTCACTGGCCTCAGAAAGTATCCGCTCCACACCTCCTTCTATGATGCTGTTAGCTGCCATTGAGTCGACCCTGACCCATGGCGACCTTATGTGCAACAGAACAAAACTTTGTCTGATTCTGCATCAGCCTCACGATCACTGTCAGTTTCAAGCCCATTGTTGCAGCTATTGCGCCAACCCGTCTGTCTTGCCCTTGCTGACCCTCTACTTCACCAAACATGATGTTCTCCTCTAGTGACTGAGCCCTCCTGATAATGCGTCTAAAGCAAGTGAGTTGGACAGTGTTCTGTTGTGATCCATAGGGTTTTCATTGGCTGATTTTAGGAAGTAGATTGCCAGGCCTTTCTTCCTAGCCTGCCTTAGTCCAGAAGCTCCACTGAAAGCTGTCCAGTATGGGTAACCCTGCTGGTATGTGATATATTACTGGCATAGCTTCCAGAATCATAGCCACACACAAGCCACCATAGTACAACAAACTGATAGATGGGTGGTGGACATCTGCTCCACATCTCCTTCTGTAGCAGCTTCTAATCCTTCCTTGTTCCTCTCCAGTGATGGTAGGCTCATTGAGGACAGCTCTAGTTATCAGAAAGTTCTTTAGATTGAATAAAAAAGTGACTGTCTAAAGTTTCTACTTATGGACTCTAGTTTTAGCCTTGAGGGTCACAAATTAAATCTTATTCCTCTTTTTCATGATGGTCTCTATGCAACAAAATGAGTAATTGGCTTTCAAGGAGGACCTACTATGTGCTAGTTGCTTTACACACATTATGTCTAATCCCCACAATCACCCTACCCATGGGCATCACTGACCGTGGGTGAACCTGCAATGGTGCCTCCCAGCATCCACTTTCTTCCCACCCAACCTAGCAGCCCCTACTCTCCGAAAGGGCATCTGTGTGGTCCTAGGGAAGCTGACTCTGTCTCCTGTCTCCAGAGGTGGAGCAAATGACCTAGGCCAAGCCAATCAGCACATGCCTTTCCTTTGGCTGCAGTGATTGGCTCAGGGATGGGCACATGACCTTGGCTGGTCCAATCAGAGGAAATATTGGGACTTTTCCTGGGACAAAGACTCTTTAGAAATTAGCAAGACTGTAGACCCGGAGCTGGGGGCAACTCTTGCGGGATCACAAGGCTAGTCAGCCTCAGGGGGAGCTGGGCCTTGCAGACGGTAGAGTGGAAAGATGGAAAAACTGGGTCTTCAGACCACTTTCTGAGCTAATGAACCTTTCCAGAAAGCAACCCTACCTCTTTACTCTTCAGTTTCATTAGTCATTATCGTGCATTATTGCTTAAGATAGTTTAAGTCGAGTTTTCTGCCACTTGCAACCCAAAGCATTCTTATCATACCGAGGAAGAATTTGATGCTGATTAACTTGTCCAAGATCACCCAGCCCTTCCGTGGGTAAGCCAGGATTTGGGCTCAAGGGGGATTCTGGAGAAGTACAGCTATCATGTTCTCCTTAGGTCATCTTTTCTGTGGTCTGAAGGTTCCCAGTTATCTTTAGGACCTAATTTTGACCATCATCCTAGTCCTCTCCTTTGGACACACTCTGCTTTGCAAACATCTCTCTTGGAGCACCTCTCAAACTTTCCTTGGTCCTACGCTTCCTGGAGCCACACTGTCTCTGGGCAGCTGAGTAATGCCTTCTAGACCCAATCACACTCATGGACCTTTCCAGCTCTGAAACCTTCCATGGCTCCCCAGTGCCTACATGATAATGCCTGAATCCCTATGAGTGTCATTCAAGACCCTTCAAGAGCTCACCCTGCTCACCTCTCCAGCCTCATCTCCCGGTGGCCCTGGTGGACTCCTGGCTGGCTATCCCCCAAACATACTGTCTGCTTTCACACCTTTGTTCCAGCTGTTCTTTCTCTCTTGTCTCTTAGTGGACTTATCTTCATCTAGTTCAAGTACCTCCACCCCTGCGAAGACTTCCTTGCCTTAGTACACAGGGAATCTTTTGTACTCCCATAGCTGCCTGGACTGAACCCTTCTGGACCTAGTGTTTGTGACGTGGCTGCTGCCTTGCTGGTCTGGGACCTCCTGCAGTGGAGGCAGCATCTGCTCTTCTCTGAGCAGCCTTTTTTTTATGACTACAGTGTTTTTGTTGCTTGAGGTGCTGAGCACTTGTTGGATGGGCAGGGAAACGTCTGGGGCCTTTTGCAGGGCTGGCCTGGACCTGGTGGGTACATGCCTTGTGGGGAGCTGGCTGTGATCTGGGGCTCTGGGGCCAGGCCAGGCTAAATGTGCTGTTTCCCAGGGTGGCTGGGGCAGCAGATGGGGCAGAGAGAACAAAGTGAAGTCAGAAAGCTGGAGTTGCGCCTCATGGGCAAGGGCTGAGCCCATAGCAGAGGCTTGTTGATAGTATCTCCATCGCTCAGGCCAGGAACCTTTGAGTCACCATGACTTCTCTTTCTCTCTCACTCACATCCTATCTGTCAGCAAAACTGTTATCTCTACCTTCGAAAGCTATCCAAATCTGGCCATGTCTCACCACTCCGCCACTACTCCCTGGTTCCAACCTCCAAACTGGTCTCCCTGCCGCCACCCCTTGCCCCTTCAGTGTCCAGAGTGGTCTTTTAAAGCCTTGTTGTTGTTAGGGGCCATCAAGCCAATTTCAATTTATAGCAAGTCCATGTGACAGAGTAGAACGGCCCCGTAGGGTTTTCTAGGCTGTGATCTTTATGGAAGCAGATCACCAGGACTTTCTCCTATGGAGCAGCTGGGTAGGTTTGAACTGCCAAACTTTCAGTTGGCAGCCGAGCACCAAAGCGTTGCACCACCTGAAAGAAAAAAAAAAGGTTGCCATAGAGTTGATTCCTACTCATAGAGACCCCATAGAACAGAGGAGAACTGCCCCATATGGTTTTCAAGGATGTAATCTTTATGGAAACAGACTGCCACATCTTTCTCCTGCACAGCCGTTGATGAGTTCGAACTGCTGAGTGCTTAACACTGTGCCACTAGGGCTCCTTGTTTCACCACCAGGCCTCCTTTAAAGCCTAAGTCAGTTCATATCTCTCGCTTCTCAGCACCCTCCAGGGCTTCCCATCTTCCTGAGAGGAAGAGCCA